TACATTACATTACATTACATTACATTACATTACATTACATTACATTACATTACATTACATTACATACAACATGCATACATACACACATGCATACATACATACATACATACATACATGCATACACACATACATGTTTTATGTACACACATAAGAATGTGTATGTATATACAGAGACATATATGTACACATAAATATATACAAATAAATATGTGTGTGGAAACATCCTTATACACGCACGGTTTTGCACGTTTTTGTATGTATATATGTATATAGACTTGTGTGTGTGTAAGTAAGTACGCACGAAAAATAGTAAGGAAGTATGTATGTATGTATGTATGTATGTATGTATGTATGTATGTACAATGCAGAAACGCACGTGCACGCACACACACGTTTCAAACTCACACACACACACACACGCCAGAAATTCTGGGATTTGCGCTGGCTCTATACTTCTCTCGTGATCTCGTGAAGCAGGCACTGCCGGCTGTTTGAAGCACAGCCTTGACGGTTTAGGGTTTCAGGGTTTCAGGGTTTAGGGTTAGGGTTTAGGGCTGAGGGTTTAGGGTTTAGGGCTATCAAGCCTAGAACTCTCTCAGCCCACCGCGAAAATACTGCTTTCCCCAGCAGAACTTCCCTCATCTGGACTTCGGTGCGTTTTTTTGGATCCGGCTCGCTTGGCGACGATGGTTGATCATGAGACCACTGCTTCCAATGGGGATTAGATGGTCCTGCATCCAGAACCGAAACAGGGATGAGAGAAACGGTAGACTTCTTCAGCTGCTAGCCACAGAAGCTCTGACCGGAATCAGTCGTGCTCCATGCGGCGCTGGAGAAAGGACGTCACACGCTGCGTGCGAAGTTGCACCTTTCCGGACTGTAGCTGGTTTATGCTCTGAGTAAGTCTATGACTGTGATTACGATAGCCTATATGGGTGGTTGTCGAAATTATGGTCCCTTTTTGGGTCCTTATTATAATACGGCACCTATTATTTAGGGTACCCCAAAATGACCATAATTTTGACAACTACCCATCTGTACCTATAGTCCACTAACAACCTGCTTATGAAGTCTGAGCCTGGCCTTCAACCCTAAACCCTAAACCCTAAACCCTAAACCCTAAACCCTAAACCCTAAACCCTAAACCCTAGAACCCCAAGCCCTAGAATGGACACTTGAATCTGATCCGCGTGCTCAGCGTGCGTGGGACGCGTGAAGGACAAGCCGAACAATAACAAGCAGCTACAGCCCTTTCCCTAAGGGTCCATGTACCCCAATCGTATATACTTTGGCCTTAAAGTAGTCCCTATATGGGTACTTTGGGGCCAAAGTATATACTATTTGGGTACATGGACCCTGAGGGTTTGATTTAACAAGGGGTTGTCTTCAACTGCTCCCTAGAGAAACCCAGGGGGACCTATCCATAGTCTGTGCTGTTGGCTTAGAGCGGCAGCGAAGCATAGACGACCAGTTGAACCTCCAGATATGCAGGAGCCCCAGCCCACACTCTCCCGATCGATGGCAACATATTATAGGGGCCTTAATAATTAGAATAGGGCTGGGGGTTATATTCTGCTATAAATATATTAAAGAACACCCCAAAAATAGTGCTGGTAAGTATTTATTTTTAGGCGGCCCCTACAGTATGTCGACAAAATCTGTTTCGTGTTTGGCACCAGCTCTTGTGCATGCACAAATCACAACTTAAACTTGGATGTCTTCCTTGTATCCTGCGATAAATTCTTGTATCTACCATAACTGCAGACTTGCACTGAGGATGGAGGAAATAATTCCAACCGATGGTCCCTTTGAACTTTGACTTAGGGGCTGAGTACCCTAGCCCAGAAAAGGTTAACCTTTTGAACTATAGTAGGATTATAAGAGCCCCAAAAGGTTAAAGGTTACCTACTCAGCCACTAAGTTGAATGATGCCCGCATTGGTATAATAGCAACTTATAAATCTCCTAGAAACCCCCTCAACCCCTCCCTCCCCGCCGTGAAAGCCTCGGTCGAACTACGAAAAGCCACCGAACCGCAAAGGCACAACGACTCTAATATAGGGGCCTTAATAATTTGAATAGCGACTTTACTATAATAGTAATAATAAGGACCCCCCCCCAAAAAAAATAGTATGGGTAGTTCTTTAGGCCCCTATAGTAGGTGATCTGCAACCCAGATCTTCTACTGATTGGGAGTTCAGAAACCGAGGACCCCGATACAGACCCTACCTTAACCTACCAAAACCTGGATTTTTGTAGGTTCTGATAAAAAAACCCTAATATGGAATTTATAGGGACCCTACAAAAAAGTAGGTCTTGGTAGGTTAAGGTAGATTTCTCTTTGCCAGGATCCTGACTACTCGCATCATCTGAAGAAGAGGGCCGCCTCTGGCTGCTTCAGTTTTTCAAGACCTATCGCCCAGAAGACCTACAGTACTTGGGGGTTTCCGAAAATAGGGGACCCTAATATAGTACCCTAATTAATAGGATCCCTATTATAAGGACCCGAAATAAGGTACCCTAATTTTCTGAAACTCCTACTTCTTCAAGCGACTGTGATTAGAGGTTTCATAACAAGGGGCCTCATCATGTAGCGGCCCAAACAATTACCAGTCCCATTTTTTGGGGGTTCCTTCTTACATTTATAGTAGAATCGGCCGCAACACCCTATTCGAATTTTTACAAGTAAGGCCCCTACCAAAAGGGGCTGAGTACCCTTGCCCAAAGAAGGTTAACCTTTCCAGTCTAGTAGGATTATATGAGCCCCAAAAGGTGAAAGGTTACCTACTCAGCCCCTAAGCCCAAATAACATTCAGGTCTTGTGTTGCAGCCAAACCTTGGGGCTCCAAATAGCCCAAAGTAGGTACTATTTGTATACTTGGAGCACTAGGGAAAGCCTGAACTCCCTACGCTCTAATCCCAAAGCGGGGCACCAAGCCGGCTTCGCCCTCCAGCACCGCCAGAGCTTCCTTCAAGCCTTTCAGCGCTAAGTTCACGTTCAGCTTCGATTCTTTGGGGTTCTGGGAAGTTCTGGGGGCTCGTTTAATGCTTGAAGTTGTCCCCAAAAAATATTCGTTGGGTGTTGTCGGGTTCTTGTAGGACTATGCCCGGGTAGGGCTGGAAGGGAGCAAGGGCTCTCGGGTGCATACGACGGACAAGCCTGCTAGGAAGAAGTCTGAAAAGAAGCTGAGAGGTTCAAGCAGTTGATTTCAGTGAACGAAGCCAGCAGACGCATCCCCTTATAAAGTGCGAGGTCATCACGAGTCAACTTCATCGTCCTCAGGGTTGTTCTCCCACAGCAGTTTTGATATCCCTATGAACCGTGGTGATCGACTATCACTTTGTGCTTCTGCTGTCGCTCCTGATTGACATGCCTTCTGGTGTCACCACCTGGTCCGATGCTTTTTGCACTGTCGCCTAGAGGCCTATGGACGACGATGCTTGGGAATCCAAGAAGCTAGGGCGTAGGAGCCTGAAGCATCAGGACATGCATGTCCGTCATGTTCATCAATAGTTCTGTTTAGAAGAGGGGTCATGCAGAATTACAAGGACCCCCGTTTCCAGTTCGGAAAAGACTGTCTGCGAAGCTGTCGGTTGATAGTTTGGCGGTGACAGTTGTTTTCAGGCTGATGGTGCATAACCACTACACCTGTGAGCTTTTCAAATCATAAACAAAAGCCGGCCCCTATGTGCAACCCCTGAATCCTCACCGGAGAGCTCTGGCTCATGTAGATGGTCGTGTCTATGGGAGCTTCAGTACTTCAGACAAGAGTACACGGATTGTATTCTGGATCAGGGCTCCGAGCAACATACCTTACCTCCTGTTACAAGACTCTGCTGAAACAAAGGGAGCCACTGGGAACAGCCCCCAAACCCTCACCACGAAAAACCAGCTCCTGCTTGCCTTCAATCTCCCGCTGCCGTTTCTGCATGATGTCTTCGCGAGTAACTTTCTTCACGCAGCGCTGCTTCACTTGTTCGTAATACCTTGGAGGCTCTACTTGGATCTTCAGGTGACTGAATAACAAAAACAGCAGGGTTACGACCAGGAGAAGCCGTTTTATTATGGTGTAGGGTTTAGGGGTTAGGATTCAGGGTTCAGGGCTTACGGTTTAAGGTCCGTTCATCTCTTACTTGCTAGGTCCCTTCATGTAAGGTCCATTCATGTATCCGCGACGAAGAGTTAACATTGGAGATGAGCTTGCTGTCATTACAGTGACGTCTGCGGTTTTGAAACGATGAGGTATGTGATAAGTATCAGTATCATTCCGGGACCCGATTAGGCCTTAGGAGCTTTTGTGTTGAGGGTTCCTCCTATGGTGAAGGACGTTCGACTGGGCAATATTGCCATGAAAGCCTGCCACAGGATGATCGTCGGAAACAGTACTGGCAGCAGCACAGGAGTTGAGCATCAAAGGGAACACCCACCACCCTAAACCCTAAACCCTATTAAACCCTAAACCCTAAAACTTAAACCCTGAACCCTGAACCTTAAACCCTAAGCCTTAAACCCTAAACCCTAAAAGGTTATATTGTGCGTCTTCAAGCATGAGGCTCCCGAAGTCAACAGCCGCAAATACCCCCCCCCCCCCTAAGCGATAATATTGAGATTCATCGCTGGCATGCCTGTGCCACTGAGTGAAAATGATGTTAGTTTGTTAGTTTTGGGTTTAGGGTCCAGGGTTTAGGGTATGATGTTAGCTACTTCGTTGCTCTGATCATTACCATTCGGCAAACATGCAAGTAGAGACACAAAGTGGCTCGGTGGCAAAACGCACATTCACCACAGAGGCTCACACCATAAATCCTAAGGCCCACCATCAAGCATCCTCAACCAGACTTAATGCAAAAAAACTCCTGGACCTCAACCTCACGTCCGTAAACTGCCCCAAATTCACTGAACATCCTGGAGAAAGAAGCAACCCAACATATCAAACCCTTTAGGCTCGAAGCCGTATGCAGATAAACCTCGGCAACCGTCTATACACACCAAAACCCCGCTTTCATTATATTATAGCAGACCCCCCCTGTATTCTCCCTACCCTAAACCCTAAAACCCGCCCCCTGAACCCCTAAACCCTTTACAAACCCTAAACCCCTAAACCCTAAACCCCGAAACACTGAACCCTTGGGAGGCTTAGCGTCTCTTCCAAGGGCTCCAGCTCGTTCTTGGCCGCTTCGAGGTCGGCTGTCAGGCGCCGGACCTTCTCTTTTTGGGCTCAGTAGGGTTTCGGGTTTAGGGTTTTATAGGGTTTAGGGTTTAGGGATGATTTTAATATAGGGGCCTTAATGATTGGAACGGGGGTTGTTGGGTTATATGATACTATAGTTATAGTAAGGAACCCCCAAGAATATTATGGGTAATTATCTAGGCCCCCTATGTTAATCACGGAAGGTTCCGGGACCTTATTACCCATCAACTCGAGCTTTCACATGTGGTACTTGGGTTTAGAGTTTAGGGTTTAGGGTTTAGGGCTTAGGGTTCAGGGTTTAGGGTTTAGGGTTTTTCGAGGTGTTTCGAAGGATCTAATTGGGCCCTTCTTGCTCGTGTTCTGCGGGCCCGTGGCAGTATCTTGTCTGGCTTTTTGTCTGAGGACCCACGGACCTTCTTCATGTGGGTAGTTTCCTAAATTAGGGTCCCTTTGTAGGTCCCCAATATAGTACGGCACCCTTATCACAAGGACCCCCAAAAGGGATCCGAATTTAGAGAACTACCCATTTTGGGCTCGAGGGCTTTGCTTTTGGCTGAGGTTTTCGGGGATTTCGGCGCCTTTGCCCACATCAACAGTCCTTGGCTCAAAGAAAAACCGCAGCGAGAGCGCTTCTTTCATGTTTTGTATCTTAAGGTTCCCACTTTCTCGACAGAACCGAAGAACTGCCTAGACCCTCAACCCTGGAACCAGTTGATTCCCGATTCCAATGAAGCGTGCTCTGTGGCTTTGAATGCACTGAAACCTTGCCGGCCTCGTTGTCGGCTGCCTTAACCTCCCTTGTGTTGCGCTCGACATCGAGCTCCTAATGCAGGAGAGAGGGATGTCGACTCCTTACCTCCTTGGTGTACTTGGGCCCTAGATGTCAATCCTTGCTATACCGTAATGCTGCAACAGACTCACGACTGCAAACATTCACCAACCGTGTTCCTGTGTTTACGGCAAGCCTCTAAGCTTGAGTCGTTTTGGATTTCAACGGCCAAGCTTTAAGATCGAACATTTCTGCCGCACCCATACAGTACTCGCACTAGTGCGCGAGCGACCTTCTGCTTCTGCAAGATCATGCTCCTTAGAGAGAAGCAGATCTTCATGGTATGGGGGGGGCCATGCCGGAGAACTATAACGAGAACGATGCTTGTGATGGCGGTGCCCTTGTTGAATCAGCAGTGGGGGGTTCCCTCGGGGCTTTAGTCCAGACCATGAGAGCAATGGCTGTTGCTTTGTCACACACACCCACGCCATCGACCTATGCATCTGAGCTCGAGTTGGGCACTCAAGCATAGCACAAGAGCCAACAGTTGCTGGAGCTGTTTAGGACACAAGCCCGCATACGTGCGTTTGCAAAACGGCTGTCTAATTGCATCCAAAGAGGGATATCTGAAAGTACGCATCTGTCTGTCGCACGTGCAAGCATATGGGTAAACACACTCACATCCAGCATGCGTGCATACGTCCATGCACGCGCACATACACATAATATACGTAGACACATACATATGTGTGTATACATACTGTCTACACCTACATACACACACACACACACCGATATAAGTATACACTTTAAGTCACTTATATCCACACATACGTCCATCCATGGTCCATACATCCATCCATCCATCCATCCATCCATCCATCCCTCCCTCCCTCCGTCCATCCATCCATCCATCCATCCATCCATCCATCCCTCCGTCCGTCCATCCATCCATCCATCCATCCATCCATCCATCCATCCATCCATCCATCATCCATCCATCCGTCCATCCATGCGTCCGTTTATCCCTCATCCATCAGTCCATGAATCCATCCGT